AAAAAGTTTTCCACATTATAAAAAAAGAGAAAAAAGAAAAAAGAAAAAAAAAAGGATTAATAATCAGATTGCTTTCCACAAGTGTTTGAAATGTAAAGTAAATGAAATGATTCTGACCAGATGACAGTTTAAATTGTGGTGATATAGTTTTTTAAGAATATAACTCAAAATAATGCTCAAATAAAAATGGCAGTAGCCTAATAAAATCTTTTATGATGTAATTCACATAAAATTTTAGTAATGACTTAATATGGCTTCTCAGTATGATGGCATTCTGTTATGAAATCAATAGAATAAAAACTGCTAGGAACAAGGACTAAAACTATGATAAGAATATGGGCTATATATCTAAAAGGGTGTGGGTGCGAACCCCATCTTCCCCATTAATCAGCTGTATAAATAAGCACATTATGAAATCACTCTGAACCTCAGTTGCTTATCTTCACAGATTATAAGGTTACCTCTACCATCATCTTATTATAGCAATAAGTAAATCAATCTATCAAGTTATTATAATTAACTATTTAGCATGGCAGTTGGCACATGCTATAAGTATTCAACAAATGATAGTTATTAGTTATCTGTCACCAAATTTAGTATATACAAAGCTGACCTGAACCACCATTCAAGGTATGAAATACCCTGGTTAATCATGACAAGTTACATAACATATATATATATACAGACAACAGTGTGATGGTGCCCATAGAAAAAGGGGAGTAGAGGTCAGTGAAGGTGGTCATATGGGGAAATAAATGGGGATGGAAAGAAACTTTATTTTGGGTACTGGACACATGATGCAGTGTGCAGAGGATGTTTTATTGACTTGTACACTTGAAACCTGTATGGTGTAGTGTCAACCAATGTCACTCCAATAAATTCAATAATTATAATAATAAAAAGAAAATTGCAAAAAAATGTTTAAAAATATCTAAACCCTTCATTTGTAAGCCTGTATAAACCAGTAAATCTATACTATTGTATTCAACAAGGAATCAGGTGTTCAGTCTCCCTTCATGTTTTCTACTTCTTCTTGTCTTTGCTAAAAGCTGCATATATTGACATATTTTTTTTTATTAATCCCTTTCTAAACTGTTCCACCTTACCTAAAGGCCACTTTTCAAGATATCCAGTCAAAAATAATAGGTCCTGAAGATTTGGATAATTGCTAAGACAAAAACATGAATGGTCAGGCAGAACAATACCAAGAGGAAGCTGTAAGATTTTGGGCACAGAGGGGCCTGCCTTGGATTACTAGCTGTAAGGCCTTCCCCAGCTAACTTAAACTCTCTGTGCCAAATTTCCTCATCAGTAAAACAGAGGTTAAAGCATTGCATACCTCATAGATTATTGGAATTAATGTACATAAAGCCCTCAAGGAAAGTCAGTATCTATATACATAAAAGCCTAAGCAACCATTATGACTGAACAACCGGAACAACTGGAATGACCCGTCCACTAGTCACTATGGCATGCACTGACCACCAGGGTGCAGATACTCAACACAGGAGCTGCCTGCTGGTGGTCAGTGCTCTTCCCACGGCCAGCTAGCTGGCCAACCTCCCATGGTTCCTCCCCCTGCCAGCCAGCCCCCTGATAGGCCTTGATCACCAGTCAGGCCAAGGGATCCCACCTGTGCATGAATTCGTGCACCAGGCCTCTAGTGTGTTAATAATTGAATACTATCCCTCATTGTCACATATACCTGCTGCTACTACCAGACTTTCTGTCTTCTCCAAATTGGGTCACTTGTGATTGTCTCTTTCCTTGGCTATTTCTAAGGAAGTACATACATTTATATATTATATTTGTATTTTTTATTCTTTTCAATTACATATTCTTTATTAAGATTATTTGCTGATTAATAATTTCCCTGTTCTAAAATTCTATTTTTCAAATTTCCACAACTCAGATCATTTCACATTATTCCTTTAATTTTGGCAGCAATTTTATTTTTTATTTTGTAAAATTGATAAAAAGCAAGAAAATGTGAAACTGAAGCAGTGACAATACAATGCACTGATTTCCCTCATAAACCTTACAAGACAAACTAAAGTTAAAAGTCATCAATATGTCAAATTCAGTACTGGGTTCTAATTTTGCCCAACAATTCTTTCCAAAGTGGGGAAAAAAGTAATTGCTTTAAGTATTTATTCTTTACTCAAAATAAATTTGTTAAGGAAGAGAAAAAGAGAAACTGAAATTGCATCTATTGTGGTAAATTGTGGAAGAGGATGATAGAATGCAAATAAATCCCTGTGGCTTTAAGGAAAATAAAGAAGGCCAGAAGAGGGTGCTCTGGGAAATTTCTTATAAAATCCCAAACGTATTTACCAGTCAATTCATAGTGATTAAAAATCACCTATCTAAATGCAACCCCATGAAAAACTCTTTTGTACCTCTACTTGTTTTCAGAACATTTTCACAACTCTTACTGTGTGCTTATACATTTCTGGAATTTTAAAGACATAACATTTAATTCTAACAACTCAAACGGGAATTGTGGTATGTTAACTGACATTAACTGCTTTGTTTTGGGAGTGGCCTCACATTTTCTAATACTATAAGCGTTTCTCTCAATGTTCCATCATCAGCTTATATTGCTTCACGGAAACACAAGAAAACACAGGAGACAAATCCCTAAACTACCCAATGCCCTCGGCCCCCAGAGAAAATATTTCCAGGCTGGAAAAGGAGGGAGTCACAGAAAAGTAGGTGGATTGTCTACTGGAGTCCCCGAATGCCAACCCATCAGGGCCAGGGCCAGCAGGAAACAAACACAAAAACACAAGCTAGATTCAGGAATCTGAGAGCAGAAGGAACAGGTGCTTTTTTGAGTAGAGGTAGAATAATGACAAGCCCCAACCTTCTTTCCAAAAGCAGTGGCTGCTGAATGAGTCTGGAAAGGTAAGTCAACAGTGACCTCAGGAAACAGAGTTTGAGTTCCCCGGTGCCCAGATATTTCCTAAGCTCCTGTTTTACATGAAAACTTCAAGCATGGATCCCAAGAGACTTATAGGCAGAGAGTGGCCTTGCTGCCTAACTGTAGCCTTTGGTCCTGTTGTGAAGCATCAGGGAGTTGAGAACCTTGAATATGATTAAAAAGCAAGGAGCAGTTCCCTATCTATGATACGGGAGATACTAAGTTTGTTACCTTGTTTAACTGTGCTCCGTCTTACTAATAACAACAAAACCAAAGGATCTGAGGTTTAAATAACAAATTAAAGAGACAATAAATTGAAGAGTCACTTTTGTTATTGGGGGAAAAAGTGTCTTTTCTGAGACAGGAATATGTAAATTCAGTCTGTAAAAAAGTTTTTAACTGAAATAAAAAGTTGTCATGTTGCACACAAACTTACACAATGTTATATGCCAACTATATCAATAAAGCTGTCTAAAAAATTTTTTTAAGAAAACAAAAGTTGCTATTTTTTCATGCAACTGACATATCTACCTATAGTTAATATATTTAAACTGAGGAATTCTCCTAAAATTTAATGAGTATGATAAGTACATCAATAAATAGTCAATTTCAAATAATTATATATTAAAATTGAAGTTTATAGAGTCATTTTGGAATTTATAAAAATCCCACAAATAATAATAAATTTTAATTTTCTAATCAAATAAAGAGGATCAGAGAAACAGTTTCCATTTTCCAACCAAGGATAATTTTCAATTGGTTAGTAAAATCACTGGTGTTCATTTTATTTTAGGAACAGAAATTATGTCAGTTAAATTATCACTACTTAAGACCATCTATAGTGCACAATAGATGGTCTTAAGTAGTGATAATTTAACTGACTGACATAATTTCTGATAAGTAGTGATAATTTAACTGACATCATCAGTTCTAAATGCAATATCTTAAAGACTTCTTGGTAGTTTTACAATTGTTTATATTCTTATGTCTTCCTTAATTATGTTATTTTGTGCTACTTTAGTGCAATCCTTCCCAAGTATGTTTATAAACAATACCATACATTGATCTTTAATGAAATATACATAAATGTCACCTCTCTTGATCAATTGTGACCCAAAAACTACTGTGCTAGAAAGCCAAAGGGCTTTTGAGATCTACACTAATAAAAGATAAACATGCAAATTAACCATTACTCTGTGACACCAAGCCACACCCACCAACCAATCAGGAGCAAGTATGCAAATTAATCCAACAAGATGGCAGCCAGCCACAGAGCTGGAGCTAGCAGGAGGTTTGGGTTGCTCCCAGAAATGGAGAAAATCTTGCTTCCTGGCCTGCCCTAGCTTCCGCTCAAGGCTACAAAGTTTCATTTATAGAAGATAAATAAATCCTAGATACTTGCTTCCAGCTAGCCTGGCCTCTGCTCAAGGAGGCAATGAAAAAAAGAAAAGAAAAAGTAAAAAAGGAGGGGTTGGGACCTTGGGTCACTGGGGGGTGATCAGGCCAGATTGGACATCAGGGACTGTTGGGGGTAAGCAGACCAGCAGGGGGCCCAGTTGGGGGTGAGCAGGACAGTGGGGGGAGTGGGCAGTCTGGAGTGAGCAGGACAACAGGGGGTCAGTTGGAGGTGAGCAGGCCAGTGGGGAGGAAAGGTGGGGGCAAGAAGGCCAGCAGGGGGAAGTTGGGGGTGATCAGGCTGGTGGGGGCATTTGGAAGCAAGCAGGCTGGTGGTGAGGGGCAATTGGGGGTGAGCAGGCCGGCAGGCAGAGTGGTTAGGGGCAATTAGGCAGGCAGGCAGGTGAGCAGCTGGAACCAGCAGTCCCGGATTTTGAGAGGGATATTCAACTCTGGTTTAGGCCCGATCCCTGTAAACCAGCAGTAGGACATCCTTCAAGGGATCCCAGATTGGAGAGGGTGAGGCCAGGCTGAGGAACATGACACCCTCCACCCCCTGCATGAATTTCGTGCACTGGGCCTCTAGAATTACAATAATCATCAAGAAATCAATCTTACCTGAAACTGAAGGAAAACAGGGAATGTCATGGAGCAATGAAGCTTTGTGCTGTCAGTGCCCTACCTCTGAGCAGAAGCCTTTGGATGTTTTTCCTCCAGTCTCCTCACCAGTGCCACTGTCAGCTGCCCTGTCGCCCCAAGAGAACCTTCTGGCATCAAATGGGTGTCTGAAGGTTGCTCCAAACCAGGGATGCTGGCACTTTTATGCAGAAACTAATAAATAAACATATAGGAATAAGTAGCTCTTTTTACTGAGTGAAAACATCTAAACTATATATATCCTGAAAATTTAACATTACACTTTTCTGGTTCTTTAGTCTTCTTCATCATGCAAATGAATCATTTCTATGTGGCCAGATGCCAAGAGAACCTTCTGGCATCAAATGGGTGTCTGAAGGTTCCGACAGTTGCTCCAAACCAGGGATGCTGGCACTTTTATGCAGAAACTAATAAATAAACATATAGGAATAAGTAGCTCTTTTTTACTGAGTGGAAACATCTAAACTATATATATCCTGAAAATTTAACATTACACTTTTCTGGTTCTTTAGTCTTCTTCATCATGCAAATGAATCATTTCTATGTGGCCAGTCATCAAAACAGCTAGTGTGTCACCATTTTTTAATAAAATAATATTTATACAAGTACTAGTAACCCTGTGTATGAATCCATGTGTCAGTAGCTCTCTGCGGGGCCGCTCTGCCCACTGCCCAGAGGCTCTCCACGGCCTAGGGGCCCCTCTGCGGCTGGGTGCAGAATGCTTGCCTCATTCTGCCAGGTTGCTCATGCTTCCCACTCTTAGCATCCGCCCTCCTCTCCCCAAAACTGGGGATCTCTGGCGGGGCTGAGAGGACTGGTCTCCACCATCTTGCGGATGGGCACTGCCATCTTTGTGATGGAGTGACCATTAATTTGCATGTTACCATTTTATTAGATAGGATACAGGTCTTTATACAAATATTAATGTACAAACCAAGATGTGTATTATGTGTATGATTATAAACGATAAGTAACATTAAGATGTGAGTTCTTGTTTACTTCCTGAAGACAACTTGCATTTTTTTCTCTTTTCAAAGTACATTTTAGAGATCTATTTCTGTTTTGCCTCTGGCTTACTGCACTGACCTCTTCTGCTAAGCTGCTGCCATGTTCCTGATGAGCTGTGGTCCAGGTGCCATGGTGAATGTGATACTCTGTCTGGGTCACATCCATTTGTGCCTTTAGCTCCTCTAAGTAGGTCAGAACAAACTGAGGATAAGCCTGTAGGAAAAGAGGAAAAATGTAACACCAGCCTTGTAAGCAACAGCCAAAAATCTATCCAACTAGAATGATTGGGGGGATAAATTAGATTAATAGTAAAGAGGTATGGCTAATAAACTTTGCACTTCATTATCAATTTCAGATCAAAATCAAGTCAAATAATTTTCACATTACAATTTCTAATTTGTTGTTTGCTTTGATCAAGTTTAACTTGATTGCTAATCTTCATCCTTAGATAAGATTAAAATATTAAAGCCATGTTACATATTAATAATAATAATTAGCATTTATTGAGTTATTTCCACATAAAAGGTATTATTGTAAAAGACATTGCATATATGTAATATATAGTTGCTGTATTGTTTGGGAATATTCAATTCTGCTCTAGAAGACAAGAAAACAAATGGGATGGATGAAATTCATTAGCTGCATTAAATATAAGCAAATTAGTAACCTGAGAAGTGTCAGACAGAAATTAAATAGAGCAAGTGTATATGAACATAGATAGAAAGGGGTAGAAGGAAAAATAGCCATTTAATAGTCATGATTTACTAAATAACAAACAAAGCAACAAATATGTATGTTGCACTAAACATAAATGAAGCACGTGAGATTCACAAACATCATGAGATCTATAGTTGGCTACCCACTGCTGACTCGTGTTGGATCCTCTGCTGGATAAAGTCCATAGCTGCCCATCAAGCTAACTGGGGAGCACAGTTATCAGCCAAGTGTACTTGCCGAGCAGCTTTCATAGAGCCCATGTGTGTCACTGCCTCAGGGACCTTTTCTCCGTTGGGCCCCTTGGCTCAAATGTCAACTCTGGTTCTGCAACCACATCATTAGCAGGAAAGAGTGATGTAACACAATGAGATTCTGGTAACATGGCCCTTCAACTCTCTTGCACCTTAAGTGTGTTAACCTAGACCATTGCTTTTCCCAAACATTTTGCTTTGTATTTTGAGTCCATTTAACAAGTATAATTTGAGCATTTTAATTTGGTTGATGTACCTTTTTGTTCCATGATTCTAAGATAGTCTATCTAGGAGCATATTAGGAGACTACTATTGCGTCAAAGCAATTTCCCACATAATATATTTATATTTTAATCTTTGCAACAGCTCTTTGAAATAAGTATTATGTTCATCTTAAAGACAAACAAAACAAAAAATGACACAGGGAGATTAAGCTATTTGCTCAGTGTCATCCAGTGTTTACCAGAACATAATGTTTAGATATACAGCCTCAAGTATGATATAAACTCTTCTTTATTAAGGTGTGGAACTAAAATTCTAACAAAAAATAAGAGAAGGTGTTCAGTAAACACCAATAAAGGCACTAAGGTCCTTGTATTCTTCTGGAGATAGTGATATTGAATAACTAAACTTTGTTAGAAAATGTACAACTAAATGTGCATATCAAAGTTGTAAGGGACTTCAAAACCTTAAATTCATATTACTAAGTAAAAAAAAAAACAAAACAAACAAACAAAAAAACAAACAGCCAACCTGGCCCTAGCTGGTCCTGGGCTTGGTTCTGGTCAAGGGCACATGCCTGGGTTGTGGACTCAATCCCTAGTGGGGGCCTGCAAGAGGCAGCAGTTCAATGATTCTCTCTCATCATTGATGTTTTTATCTCTCTCTCCCTCTCCCTCTCTGAAATGAATGAAAATATATTTTTTAAAAAGCCACCCTGAAAAAGCTATAAACTATATGATGCCAATTATGTGATAAAGAAATAATTTGCATCTCTCTGATTAGTGATGCTGAGCATCTTTTCATATGCCAGTTGGCCATCTTTCTCTTTAAAGAAATGTCAATTCAGCACCTCTGCCCACTTTTTAATTTGATTGTTTGTTTTTATGGTGTTGAGTTATAAGAGGTCTTTATAAATTTTGGATATTAATCCATTATTGTATGTGTCATTGGCAAATATCTCCTCCTATTCAGTAGATTGTCATTCTGTTTTTGTTGGTGGTTTCCTTTGCTCTGCAAAAACTTTTTATTTTGATGTAGTCCCATTTGTGAATTTTTTCTTTTGTTTTCCTTACTCATGGATATATGTCCAAAAAATATTGCTACGAGAAATGCCAAAGATTTTACTGCCTATGTTTTCTTGTAGGAGTTTTGTTGTTTCAAGTCTTACCTTTAAATCTGTAATCTACTTTGAGTTTATTCTTGTATATGGTGTAAGAAAGTGGTCTAGTTTCATTTTTTTGCACACATCTGTCCAATTTCCTAACTCATTTGTTGAATAGACTGTCTTTATTTTGTATGTTCTTGCCAAGGATGAACTTTTTTATTTGGTTTGGCTATTTTGAGTTTTCTTCTATCATGTATTTCCTTTTATTTTTTAAAAATATATTTTATTGATTTTTACAGAGAGGAAGGGAGAGAGATAGAGACTTAGAAACATCAATGAGAGAGAAACATCCATCAGCTACCTCCTGCACGCCCCTCACTGGGGATGTGCCCGCAACCAAGGTACACGCCTTGACTGGAATTGAACCCAGGACCCTTCAATCCACAGGCCGACGCTCTACTCACCAAGCCAAACCGGTTCCATCTACCATGTATTACTTTTTAATGTCCTTTGCTTATTTTTCTATTAAAGTTACAACAGGCTTATTCTACATAAAGTATTATTCAATTTTCTCACATTTATATTGCAAAGATTTTCCCTATTTGCCATATTTCTCTAGTTACTTTTGCTTATGCTATTTTAGATTTAAAAATTTTAAAATATTTTTATATATTCAAAGACATTAGTCTTTTCCTTTATGGATTCTATCTTTGTTTGCATGCTCATAAAGATATCTACTGTGGGTTAGATACTTGAATCCAAGCTTTCTTCTAAATATTTCTTCTAAATATTTTATGGTTCCATGTTTAAGTTTAAATATTTAATTTAGCTAAAACTGGTAGTTTATATAAAAGAAGTAATTTAACTTTATAATTTTGCAAATCAATAGAGGGATGGTTAACATTAAAAATAAACAAACAAAAGAAAAAATTATCCAAGTAAAAATAGCAATAGAGTACACTACTGTGTTTAAATTTGTTCATTATTATTATTATCATAAATAGCTACAAATTATTGATTAGCTAAAATCAATATGCCAGAATCTATTGATAGGCCAGAATCTGTGCCAAATACTCAAAATGCTGGTATGAATATCCCTATTTTGTAGACAATGAATGTGAAGTTCAGAAAGGCTAAATGACTTGCCTAAGGCTACACAGCTAAGTGGTAGAGCCAAGATTAGTTATTAATATCCTGAAGCAGTAATTCTTTTTTACACTTGATCTTAGCCAAAAGGCCGAGAAGCGATCTGAAGCAGTAATTCTTTTTTAAAATTAATGAAGTGAGTTCCATTTATGAACCAGCTGCAAATAATTATCAAATTATCCTCCATTTTAGCCTTAACTAACTAGATGGATATAGTTGTGGATATGACTAAATTTAGATCTAATTACAATTTCTAAACCTCTATAAGAACGAAATGACTCATGAAAATAGCTTTGCTCTGTGAATCTAAAATAATTTTAATTAAAAAAATCAGCGATTATGTTTGGGAATGTGACATTAAAATTTATAGGATAAAAATTTTCTTTAAAATAATATGTGTAAAACAAAAAATAATGCATGATGCAGCTATGAGGGAAAAGGCCTGCCATTTATGACAACATGGATGGCACTTGAGAATATTATGCTAAGTGAGATAAGTCAGACAGAGGAAATCAAATACTGTATGATATCACTTAGGTGTGGAATCTAAAAAAGCCAAACTCATAGAAACAGAGAGAAGATTGGGGGTTACCAGGAGGGTAGGGAATTGGGGTGATGTTGTTTAAAGATATAAACTTGCAATTAGTAGATAAGTAAGCTCTGGAGATCTAATGCATAGCATAGTGTTTATGGCCAATAAAACTATATTATAACTTCAAACTTGTTAAGAGAGTAGGTCTTAATTTTACCTCAAAAAGAAGTGGTAATTATGTGATGTAACTGAGGTGTTAGCTAATGCTATGGTGGTAATCATATGGCAATACATACTTGTAACAAATCAATACATTGTACAATATATACAGTGTTTATATATGAATTATATCTCAATAAAATTAAATTAAGATAAAAGAAAGAAAACTGAGGCCCTGACATGCTGGGTGGTTTCATAGCAATAAATTATAGAAAATTATTTTTGGCTTTGGAAAATTAGTGTTTTAGAGTCAAACAAAACCTCAGAGGAAAGTATTACATTAAATTAAATTATAAACTTCTAGGCACAGATTAAAATCATTTGTGCACAAAAAGCATTTTTTGCTCTCAACAATAGATAGTGCACTTTATACAAATCTGGAACAGAAAAACTTAGGAAGAAAAGCTGTGGCTCACAAAGACCTTACCTTAGAATAAATGCAGCCATCAGTTCCAAACACCCACTTCTGAGAGTCATTTTCTTTATGTCTATAATGAAAATGTAATTAGATATTGGCAACTTTTCTCCTCATTGAAACATTCTCTTCCTTTCAAATAAAAACATAATTTTCCATATCACCTGGCCAGAAGACAGCCCACACTCTCCCACGGATTCTACCATTCCATCATCACTGCCACCTCAGTAGCTAAAGCCTTTTCTAAGTCCACCAATTCCTTTGGTACACACAGTGCTGTGTAGTCTCTCTCTGTGTGTGTGCGTGTGTGTTGGGGCAGGGTTGGGGGGGAGAGAGAAAGGGAATGTTGTCTGTGTGTGTATCACCAATGGCAATAGTAATTAAAAATTTTGGAGAATAGAATTGCTAAGAATATCATAGAAATCTCTGCCCCTCCTCCAAAAAAAAAATACTCTTGTTGAGATAGAAAGAGCCTGAATTAAGTATAATGAGTAAGAAAATGGGATGGGAAAAAAATCTTTTTTTGTGTGTGATGGAAAATTAGAAACCTTAGGCACCTGTTTCAGAAATGACCAGAAAATTTTATTAAGAAACATGAAATTTTCTGAGCTAAATCTAAGAAAGAAAAACTCAAAATGAGATGAAGTTAGTCATACTTAAATTAACTAATCAGGTATTCGTTAATATTTAGAAACCTTGCAAAAAGTAGGACAAATGAATTAAATTAAGTGTAATGGGATGTTAAACAAGACTTTTCCTACTGCCTCTAAGTTTTGACAGGATCATTAATGGTTGAGAATAGGTGGTGGCAGGTACTGCTTTGTTCCAAAGCAAGGTGCTCTCTGACCTGGGAAGAATCTGGGAAGGCAGCAGTCCCAAACTGTTCCTGTGCATATGTGCTTTTCACTCACATCCAGTTTAGAAACTGGATGTGAGTGAAATCGCATTCTCAGGCTTGAGACAAATGTAATGGTTGCTCAATTTCAGCATTGGGTGGGGTGAGAGGTGCTGGGAGAGGTTCATCTTCCTAGAGACCTTTGTATTTTGTAATTAATAAAGGAAAAAAAATAACCTTTAAAAGATGTCTAGGATCCAGAACGAAAATTTATAATTATAACAATATTAATTAATGCCTAAGAAAACATTCCTTTGAAATATTCTATTTGTCAGAGGGTATAAGCAAGAAGGCATTCCATGAGCACAGCTCAGTTTGCGGGAAATTTCATAGGCTAGTACTCATCGTTTTTCAGTTGACTTTAAGAAGGATGATCACCATGTTTCACAATTATAAATCACATTCCCAACCAGAGTCAAATGGCTCTGGTGTCCTCCAATGCTTTCCCGACCGAAAGTAGATCCACAGAGACTGGGGAAAAGGGATTTCCCCATGTTCCATGATTCTTAACATGGTAAGAGCGGAAAGAAGTTTCATCCATCAATGCACACATTGTGAAATGAAATATGGGCAATTTTCTATGTGATGTTAATATTTCTGATGGCATAATCTACATGTTTGAATATTACTTCAAAGTCCACTGCATGGCAAACAGTCCTTCCTACATTGTGTATTTGATAGAGTCTACCACTCTGGTTTAAACTAACTCTTAAACTTTAAGACTTGACTAATGAGATGATTTCAATCTCTTTGAATACCTGATGATGTCCTATCTGCTTACTTGTCTTTCTCTCTTCACACTTAACGTTACAGACACACTTGTTCATTGTGTCCAATGGTTCCTTAAAAACCATTTGTTTAATCTAGTTTAGATTAATGTTGGCCAATTATCACTCTATTTTTAGCAAGACCTAAGTGGGGGAGGGGAAAGAGAAGTAGACAAAAAGAGTATAACTGAAAGTTTAACATTGAAATAAGAAAAACAGTAAAGATTGCCAGGCAGGTAATAGAAACTAATAAAGCAGGCTAAAGCTAGTGTGAGAATGGCAATTGGGAATGGTAGAGAATAGAGCAAACCAGAGGATATATGTTCTATCTAAATGGCGAATATGTTCCTGCATGATTGGTGCCATGAGAAAATGAAAGTCCATTGCATCCCATTCTTCTTTTTTTTTTTTAAGAAAAAAAATAAAATTTGTATTTTTGTGTGAAATCTCCCTATATCTATAGGCTTACAGCTAATTCAAAAAATATAATAATGTGCAGGCCAACCAAAATCCATGGTTCTCTAATATTTAGTTTAATTTAACCTCTGTGCATGAATGTGTGTATGTTGCTTTAATTAGTTTATGAATTTAACTAGAGGCCTGATGCACAAAATTCATGCAAGGGGCTCGGCCCTTGCAGCCCTGGCTTCGTCCAGAAGGACATCTAGAAAGTCGTTTGGCTGTCTGGTTTAATTAGCATATTATGCTTTTATTATTACAGATACTACAGGTCAGATTCTACATACCCACGTTCTTTAAAAATTAAGAAATTAAGCAAAATTAAGATTTAATGGTGGTCTGAAGAAGAACTTTAGTTCTTTGGTTTGTTTATAAGATGACCAAAAAACTTTTGGAGGAAAAATATCTTTGATTGTGAAGTTTATCATTTTCAGATTATCTTGGTAATGACATCATTGTTCTGCTTTTCATTCACTTATGGTCAGATGTACATCACAGAAAAATACTAGAAATACAAATATCTGCAAGCACTTGATATATTGAATAAGAATAAGATGATTGACACTAAATGAGACATAACTGAACTGATGAGGCATGATCTGTTTATAATATTCTTTGTGAGTTGTCATGTTGCTACTTTAAGTGCTAGTTCTATTATTTTTAGCATATAAAGGGCCATGTCTTGATTCATAGCTTTTGTGAAAATTACATTATACTATTTAGGAGAAGAAAAGAAAATTTGTCTCCAGCAGCTGCTGGGGACATGAGGATACTTATTATTGTTTATAATGAAATAGGGTTATGTTAAAAATAAATGTCATACAGGCACTCCAGGTGCTGAGGAACAGATAAACATATTTGAAAGCATATATTCAGAGTGAGGTAGCTTCACAGTTCATGAGAACCCCTAGTTTTCCAAATCTTCTGCTATTTTGTCTCCATCTTACAGTAGATTTTGTTTTTCAAAAAAAGGCCAGTTGCATTAATACAAAGGCAAATGATCCTCATTTGCATAGGGATCCTCCCTTTCTACTGCCCAGTTCTCCCTCTCTCCCCCTCTCTTCTTTCCTTCCTTTCTAAAGTAAACCACATCCTTTCTTATCAATAGAGATTTTTAAATAAAACTACACTTTTAATTTTAAAAATAATCTCTTTCCTTGCACATGCTCTAATCTCCATAGGCAACAAGGACATCCAATTTGAGGCTTAAGTCCCACTCAGTTCTATGACAATCCTGGCCAGAGTAGCATGTGAACCTCAGTGGGCTGAGACCACATCGGCATCGGTTTTATTATCTAGTTAGCCCATAGAGAGCCCTGGACATGAAGAGCATGTTCATCAAGGGATATGTGAAACCTTTCCAAACACCTGCCATTTCAACTAGTCCACTGATAACTCTCCCACCGAGAGTAGTCATTCCTCACCATTTCCCTCTACGATAACAGTCACTCCTTACCCATCGTTTTGATTTTTTGTTTGTTTTATTTTCTTAGTTTTGTTTTGTTTTGCTTTTTTGAAATAAAACTACTGAGAAAGAATTGACATATAATATAAAGTTTCTCTCATATCACTGATATTTTGGTCATTTCCCCCCCCAATTTTTCTCTGTGGCTTTCATTATGAATAATTTCTATTGTTTTCTTTTCAAGTTCATTAATATTTTCTCCCACAATGTCTAATCTGCCATCAGTCATATATTTTTCATTTTATTCATTGGCATTTTCATTCTAGAAATTGGATTTGAATCTTGTATATCTTCCATATCTCTACTTAATATGTTTAATCTTTTCCTTAGCTTTCTAAATATGTGGAATACAGTTATAATAACTGTTTCAATTTCTTGTATATTAATTCTATAATCTATATAATTTCTGGGTCAGTTACAATTGACTGATTTTTCTGTTTGTTATAACCATGAACTAAATGAGCTAAAGCCTCTGTGGCCGCATGTCTCATGGTTTGGCCTTGTCATTATCATCATGCGTTGATCCTTAATATGTCTCTAGTTTATAGTACTGATTCTGCTGCAGGAATCTTGTTACCCATTCCACATACAGAACCACATCAACCTGAGACTTGATTTGAGTTTGCTAATCCTTCCTTGGGAACTGTGTGTTTAGAATGCTACTAGCACTGGCGAGTTTGCATACTGCCAAGCTAATACCTCCCTCTCCCTTTACCTGTTTCTCAATGAATGTATACTACTTATCCAATAAGATATCTGCTACTATGCTTCACACTAATTGGCAATTGTCTGACTAGACTTTGCCATACAGGCATTGTAATGTTGTGGCTAAGAATAAGTTGTAGAGCCTGACTGCTTAGGTTTGCATTCCTGCCGAGCCCCTTGGTAGATTCGACCTGGAGTAAATGACTGACTTCTCTATGATTCAATTTCCTCAACTGTAAAGATAATAATAATATATGCCTTCTCCGGTTGTTGTGAGGGTTAAATGTGACAGTATAATATATAGAAATTAGAATAGTATGGGGCTCAGAAATTAATTTTTGTTAGAGTACCTTGTATAGCCAGAATTTATACATGTGAATCTACTCTGTAGATCACATTCCTGATCATGATGTGATATTCTAATACCTGTTGAACAATCTGTTTTACATATATTAGAGAAAACTTCCCTTCTGTATAGTGGCTGGGCTAGTTTTACTGGCTTCAGCCCTAAGCACAAATCTACTGCCTATCCATCTAGCTTTCTAAGTTCAGAAGAACAACAGGGTTTAATAGAAGATAAATGAACATGAAACAATATTTCTAAACTGCTGAGTATAAATCAAGTTTCTTCTTACATTTTTTAATTTTATTTTTAATTTTAATTTTTTAAATCTCACATCTGAGTAAAGAATAAAACAAAACAAAACAAAACCAAAACCAGAAAGGGCACTTTAAGTGCTTTACAAGCCATCAGTATCTTGTCTCCTTAATTTTTCTTTTACAGTTCACTATTTTATATTTAGAAGATGGAGAAAAGGATAGGAGTACACATAGGACATTAAATTTTTAATTATCAATCAAAATAGAAATAAAGAAATGAGTTAAATAATTACAGATAAAGCAGCAGCTTGTCTGCATCATAGGTACATGTTGAAGGCCAACATTTTGCTGTTTAAAATGTCTAAGAATCACTACCAAACTAGGTGGGATATGTTTTCAAGGTTATTTCAGATTAGAAAAATTAATATCATGTTGTGAAGATAAATTTAAACACCTAATGAATATTTCATCTAAGTAGTATGATTTGACTGCTCATAAATCTTGGAACAAACATTTACTGTTTTGAGGTAAGTAACGCGGAAGTATTACCTTTTCTGGAGGATTAATTTATATCCTTCCAGTGATGTTTCCTCAGTGGCCTTGACTCTGATTGGATGACCAATAGCTAGGCAGCCCTGAGTTATGGCTCGGCTCAAGATCATTCCAGTCTGCCAATGGAGAGGGGAGACAGGTCTAAATAAGTTAAAAGAACCAGAAAATTCAACAATGTGTCACAAATAGTGAGGTCATTATGCCTGGATAACCCCGGATATTAACAGTTGCTGAAAGTGAAACACTACCCACAACTTAGTGATCAGTGAGCCGTGCTCAGAATCAGTGATCTTCCCTGTCCGACAAGGGTGGCATTTTATAGTTCAGCGCAAAATAAAACAGGTCTTGATATCTTCATTTGTCCTTCTTTTCTGTGCATATTTCACAGTGCAGCGATTGGGGGTCCATCACATGTCACTTCTTATAGTTATAACTACAGCACTTCCTCAAAATATGCATGCACAGAAAAAAAAAAAAAGGTGCAGTGAACTGAAGATAGAAACAAATTCTATTCTATTTTGATTTTTTGTTTGTTTTAAGGCCTTCACATAAGGTAAAGCCTTGCTCTGGATCTAAATACCACGGGTTAAACATTTTCAGATGACTTGTCAGCTGCATTTGTTTTAAGTGTTGAAATTCTCTAATAAGGAAATTGATGGCAATGTTGTTTGAATGTTCATGTAACAATTTTCTCAGTGAATCAACACATTTTAAATAAGTGACAACAACTAAGGAATCCACTTACACATTTGAGAATTTGTGGCATACAAAATTCTCTATTTTTACAGATAAAAAATTTACTTAAAAAAAAAAAAAGCCTTAGCTGGTTTGGTTCAGTGGATAGAGCATTGGCCTGCAGACTGAAGGATCCTGGGTTCCATTTCGGTCAAGGACATGTGCCTGGGTTGCAGACTCTATTCCCAGTAAGGGGGCATGCAAGAGACAGCCCATCAATGATTCCCTCTCATCTTTGATGTTTCTTTCTCTCCCTCTCCCTTCTTCTCTGAAATCAATACAAATATATTTAAATAAATAAATACATAAATAAATAAGGAAAAATATTCAATCTAAAAACATTTTCAAAATTGTTTTCTTTTTTTGCATGTAACTTATTTCTTAATGTTTTGTGGTATGGGAAAGAAATATATGATGACTTAAGAAAACATTTATTTTTAATTTGGTTCTAATATAAGCACTGAATGGAATCCTCATTTGATAATGTTACAGAGAGGAAATGGCTGGGGGTAAGAAAGAGAGTCACCATTTATTAAGCACTTTTTATCTACCAGACACTATGCTTGAATCTCAAACATGCCTTCTCATATAAGTAGCTTCATTTTATAGATGAGGAAACGGTGGCTCAGAGCAGCTAAGTAACTCTCCCCAGATATATATTTTGAAAATCACAAACAACTTCTAGAAACAGATAGCAGAGAATTACAAAATAGAAGATCTAGGAAAGAACCTTCCATATCTATGGGTCCAATGGGTGACACAGTGTTCAGTGCAGTGGTAAAACTGAAACACTACCCTCATGCTCATAAGTTGGTCAAATATAGAGCAGTGTCCCCATATTACAGTGAAAAGACACATGTTTTGAATCTAGAGAGACCAAGAAACCTTCTTTTACCCTTACTAGACTCAGTTTCTCTCAGCTAAATAATGAAAATCTGCAGTTTGTAAATGAGATAAGTGTGTATATGATGACTAACATATAGCAGATGTTTAATAAAATGGCAGGTATTATTATTATTAAATCAGACACAAAATACAACTTTAAAAGGGCTAATACTTCAAGTCTCCAAGTTGGAAACAGATTTAGGAAATATCTTATCTAATCTCATTATGCCTTATTATATAAAATGAATACTATTTCTTAGTACCTTTATGCTACAATTATTCTATATGTTTGTTTTGAACTCCTTGGGAAACTAGAAATAATAAGTAAGGGCAATTTAAGATTTCATTGAGAAAGTAGTTTTGAGCTCCTCTCCCCCACCCCAAACTAGCAGCAAACTTCCCTGCTGACTCTGCACCCGCAGAAGTGCTAAGAGGAAGTAAAATTAATCCACAGTGAGGAACGGAGGGAGACACAGGAAGGGTAGATACAGACTGTGGCATCTCTTTCCAGACATAAATGTTTGGTGGCAATTACAAAACATATTTCAACAGTAAGAGAGAAGGGGAGGGTGATTATATGCTCTCAATTTAAGTCAGATCCAAAAGTAAAATAATAAAGTAAAAATTTCGTGCTAACACACAGGTATAAATCTGTTAAGCATTGTTCACATTTTGTGCTCAGGGATTTCTTATAAAACTGTCCTTACAAAGATCACATGCATCAGTACATGGTGCTCATCTGCCAGGCTCCATGAAGCACAACAGTGAAGACTGAAAGTGGAAGCAAGTGACATTCAGACAAATCTCAGGAAAATGGTGAGACTATACATAAACTCTATGCTGGGTGTAGATATACCCTGGAGTATGAACAAATCAGTGCATTTAAAAGTGGACTGAATGCTCAAGGAAGTCTACAGAGTTCCTCTGTAATAGACAACCCAAGTGCAGAGAAAGAGCATTCGTTCGGCCAGCAATTGATCACACTTTCACTTGCATGCTTGTGTGCATGAGGATCAGGTGAGCACATGGTAAACCAGCCCGCACGGGAGGTCACTAGAAACAACAGACGCTCTCAGGTACCTTCATGATCAGCCACACACTGGCTGCAGGCCAAGGGGTCGATGGCGCCATCTGAGATCTGTTGCTCTCTTCACTACCTGAGGAACCCCACTTTCCAATGGAAACCGAGGCGTGAAGGACAATACTGGAATCCACCTGTACCAGGAGAATAATTACACATTTTTAACAGATGCTGAAGGTTAACCTTCCTCAATACACTTGCCCAAAATAAGTTACCCTGGAACATCATGTTTCCAATTGAGAAGGGCTCTTTTGAAACAGTAGTGTTCAATCCCACTTGATTCAATTCAACTGATAGTTTTTGAGCACTGGTTCTGATAGCCAAGGTCCCAGACTGTGTGGTGTGTGAAATTATAAAGTACAGGGTAGGGTAAAAGTAGATTTACAGTTATTCATATGGAAAATAATACAATAATTAATAAATAATAATTCATGAATAAACTCTGTGTTTTGTATACTCTCAAATGTAAAATTACTCTTGCCTCACTTGTATTTTTCCTGCCCTAAAGAAACTCACAATAGCAGAGGCAATAATACACATGCACACACACACACACACACACACACACACACAATTTCATGTTAAGCTCTATATGGATGAATAAATAGTAATCTAGTATTTAAAGAATGGTAGGGGTCATTTCTACTGGAGCAACAAAAAGTGGAATGTCTCGCCGAAACCGGTTTGGCTCATGGATAGAGCATCAGTCTGCAGACTGGAAGGTCCCAGGTTCGATTCTGGTCAAGGGTGTATGTACATTGGTTGGGGGCACATCCCCGGTAGGGGGTGTGCAGGAGGCAGCTGGTCGATGTTTCCCTCTCATTGACGTTTCTAACTCTCTATCCCTCTCCCTTCCTCTCTGTGGAAAATTAATAAAATATTTTTTTTAAAAAGTGGAGTGTCTTGAAAGAAGAAATGTCAGGATTGGATCTTAAAGGATAAAAACAGATTGACAGAAATAATAAAGAATATAAAGATATTCCAAGTAAAGGCAAGGATGTATAATCAACATATCTTAGGATTTTTTTTTGATAGGCTCAAAAAATAAAGTTGGGCAAACAGTAGAAAGTGTCGAGTATAAGGCTACGGAGTTAGACAGTGGTAGGAAGCCAGTGAACCCTTTTAAGCTGGAGGGACTGACTGGATTATGGCAAATTCTAGTAGGTTGATATGGCAAAGGGTAGACATAATGGGTTGCAGAATGGAAATATCAAAGGCAAGGAGAACAGTTGGGAGCCCACACAATCTCTTAAGAATAAAAGGCTATGAGTTGAGACTTTAGTGATAGTTGTGCAAAAGGAAAGGAGGGGACTGATTGGGGAGACTCTGCATCTGTGTTTGTTATCAGACTATGTAGGTCAAAGTTATGGTGTACCTTCTACCTTTTTTCACTTAGACGTGATTCTCAAATTAATAGGTATTTGTATCAACTATAGGAATTCTATTCAAATTTAACACTTTATCTCCTAACTTACATGCTCATTTTCCTGAGTAATCATGCTAAGTTTGTAAGTACAAATATTTATCTGTATAGGATTATGGGAACATGATTCTCTGCTTTAAACCCAATAAATGATGTTGTTTCAATAACAATCAAAATTATTTTCTAACACTAAAAAGTCTGAGTTGGCATTAAATACTAGCTATTTGTTGTGTGGCAAATGACTTTTTAAAATATGAAAATTAAATTATAATTTAAAAGATAAAATTTTTCAAGTGTGATCAGGCAGTAACAAAAGGGTAGAACTAATATGTATGGTAATTATTCTATAATGAAAGAGCATTACTTCTCAAAAGAAGAAAATGTTATATGTCTCCTGTATGTGAAAATAAAATTTTAGGAATACAGCAACCCCACCACGTAAGCAGATTTGACTTATAGCTCTTTGATTGTCTATCCCCAGCTAGCCAATTGTGGCTGGATTCAGGAGGGGAATCGCCCGCAGTTTCTCAACAATGATACACCATATTCTACTAATCCGTCCACCGCAGGACTCAGCATTTAAAGTAACACTCTCACTCCACCTCCTAACTTCAAGTTGCCATCACACTCAAAACTCTCCCCTGCAACTGGGAAGAAGATTGTTTTGACTGGAATTAGTCAGACAGAAGGAACACACTGCCAACTGCTTCTTTGTACAGCACCTGCTGCCAGCGCCTAAATTCTTGTTATCTCCACAACATGGTTTAATCTTTTAACAGTTGGCTTATTGGTGAAGAGCAGAGGGGTCTTTTGTGTCTGTCTTGGGTTGGCACCCAGTACCAACATCATGCTGTTCTTTGAGAGATAGTTTGCTGGACAGTTCCCAAGTGATTCTACATAGACGAGACACAGTCAGGGCTACTAACTCAGCTGCATTTCATGTTATATAGAGAAAAAATCCTGCCAAGTCTGAGGACATCTAAAACTGACAATGATCATTAAATTTCCCTTCATTCATAACTTCACTTCTTTGTTTCTTTTTAATTTGATCCAATTGTTTAGCTTTAGACCAAATATTTGTGAAGGTGGGACAGATGAAAAAACAAACTGTGGAAATTGGAATTCTGAAAAACAAAAGTGCTCTGACATAATATATTCTGTATGTGTGTGTAGGTGTGTGCCCGTGCACACATGTGAGCATGTACAGGTGTGTGCACACAAAAGCATCTATGTTGAGACTGATTTCTAAATCCATGCCATTAGAACATCCTTTAAGTCCTATTGAGAAAAAAAAAACAGAAAATTCTCTCATTCTTTTGGATACCTATTTACATAGTTCCCATTAAATGACCACTATGATATTGCTTGTCTGAATAAGCTGTGCTGATAGAGAAGCTGCCAGTGATAAAAATGAAGTGTACACATGCTGGGCCAGTTAAAACTTGTTTAATTTAATTTTCCCAAATCACTAATGAAAGTGGAGTAGGCTTCAATATTCCTGTACAAATTCAAAACAATAGGGGAACCGCTTGTCTTGTCTTACAGATCTATTAAGGAACAAAATGCAAAACAATAAAAGTTTTTTGAAAAGAGAAGCTCATAGGTTAATCACAATCTCCATTCCAAACAATTTGTTTGTTATGTAGAAATTTTATACTTTTGCTAGAGAATTTAGAGCCAAGTAAAATAATTTGATATATAAATTAAAATCACAACTAAAAAATATTCTAAAATCTCTTTCTTCCTGTCTCTGATGTTCACTATTATTGTTTCCATTCTCTGATCAATCCACACCCTCTCTAAAGACAAAACTGAAACAGTCCGAAAGCAAAAAATATTAGTGAGCACATAATGATGTAACCAAATAAGACAACTTTAAGATCTAGGTAAGCAGTCTCTAACTAGCATCTAACTATTGATCTAAAAATATGAAAGGGATTTGGGGTCTTATTTAAAGTCCTGTATCCTCTCCTAATGGTAATCAGTTCAAATTTTGAATTAAAATTTTGTATTTTCTCCAATACAAATTATTTGTAGAAAATATTATTTCTGACTGACTTGCTCTCCAAAGAAACACAACAGTAAAGACTTGTTTGCCTTTCCCAGCCTTCTTTGTGCAATACAGAATAATATATTCTACTAGCATCCACGTCTGCGGACTTCACTAGTTAACTTGTATTATAATAACTAGGCCATAATTCTAAAATTACAACGTGGTATTTTCTTTCTGTTTTCATACTGAAAGTTGTCACTAATGTCCTGATGATGTCTGCTCATACTGAAAGGCAAGGATCACTAAAAGAAAAAGACCAAAATACATTTTCTTTTCCATTTTTCAAAATATATGACTTGCCAAACACTGAAGTGTCCATTTTTCGGAAATATTTTCCCATAATCAGGCATATGATTTTTTTTTCTTTACATTATCTAACATGAAGTTTAAATTTCATCCATTTTATGGAAACATAATTTTATTGCCCTTAAACTGGGGCAATCGAAAAATGCTGCCAATCTAAGTAACAATACAGAACTGTTGAAAGATGTATTTGCCAAATAGTTCATTGTTGTAGATTCCAAATCTTTTTTAGAAATGGATAAAAGAGCAACAGGTTATAATTGTCAGGGTTATACCTATCTCCCACCTTACTAATAGGGATTATATGTTCCAAATTTCTCTCTGTGGGAAAGGGTTTACTTGTCAATAAGAGATTTGAGCAAACAGTAAGGGGTTGGGCACTGATATCTCTATCTCAAGCCAATTTCAAAACATACCCACCAAGAATATTGGCTTTTGCTTCCCTCCTCTCTATCCATGCTTTAATCCTCTTAGTATCTGCTTTATGAGCATTAGGATTCTACCATAAAATGCCCTACAGGTAGCCATCACCTCTGCCTGAATCTCTTTTTTAAAGTGCTCTTCTTTTCGGTTATTAAATTACTATTTCCAATGCACTGATCACCTCTCTGTATATAATGGAAGACATTATTCTGAAAGGCTTTAAAGGTTTTATAACTAAGGGAAGGCCTTTTTTTTTTTTAAGCTTCTCTTTACTTGTCAGGTTATCAAACTTTTTTTCTTATAATACTGTTTTGGTTGGTCTGTAATTTTACTCAAAACTAATTTCTTCTTCCAAAAATACAATAGTATACAAACCTTTATTTAAGATGAATGCTTTCCCACTTTTACTGATTCACTAGAACCAATTAATCATGATGCAATGACTGTGATTGTTATTGTATCATTTTTCAACATTAGAAAATACAGTTTTCTGTTAAAATCCTACTTTGACTTAAAATCAAAGAGAGAAGCCTCCTTGGGGTTCTTTTCCTGTAACAATTCTTTAATATTCCATTTTCTTTCTGGTTTGAGCTGGCTTCTGTTAAATGAGTTAATTAACTAGTGAATTCAATTCCATTGAGCTAACTCTGGATATTTAGAGATTATAGAATCAGGATGTCCTCTGGTGCAAAGGAATTTCTAATCTAGCAGCAAGGGTAAGTAAGACAGGGACCTCCCGGATTATCTTCCGAACACAAGGATCAAATCAGATCTTGCCTCTGCTTCATGTTTCCAATGGATCCTTGTTTTCTACAGGATATCCAGAATCCCTAATATTAAATTAAGACCCTTGATAATCTGATCTCAACATCCTCAGTGGAATATACTATTCTTCCCTTTTTACCCCAATGTGACCTGAAATAGGCCTAAATTTGGGACACTAATTGACTTCGAATCATGCAACAGTTGTAAGGGGAAACAGCATCAAGTTCATTGTCACTATAAATGGCACTGAATGGATACAATGGGGTTATCAAGGCCAGAAACATCCTATCTGGTTTGGGAGTGGGGGTGGGATAAAGGAGATTTTATGAAGCTGGTACAGATCAGATAAGGCTAGAATGAAGGGCAGGATTTCAACAAGCATTTGTTTAATGCCAACTATATGTCAGACATTGTGCTAGGATATGGCACAGGGGTAAAAGAGAAGGCTGGGGTTGGTGGCAAAGAAAGAGAGGTTGGATTTCAGGCAGAGGTTCCACATGGACATAATAACAAAAATCATGGAGTGCTTTCAGAAAACAACAAAGGAACAATCTGGCTTGGCTAACACACAACATATTAGACAATAGAGAGCCTTGTAAGATAAATCACAGCTAAATTTTAAAAATCCTTCATCAAAAATACATTGTGCACTTGCCCTACAGTCAAGACTTTGTGCTAGCACTCCAGAATACAAAGATGATTGAGACACAATGGTTGCATCTAAAGAATTCTCAATTTCAGGGAGGAGAAAGTACAAAAGCAAATAAATGCCAATATAAAAAAACAAGATCTAAGAATTTTCAAAGGAGTTCTAAAAATACAAGGTAATTTGAGGTTAATTCTTTCTGCAGGATATGAGAAGGTTTTATGGAAGAAGAGGAAGTTGAATAAAGCCTTAAGGCAAACATACACATACACACACACACACACACACACACACACACACACACACACACAGTAATGATAGAGGTTATTTCCTAGGCAAAGAACAACACATGCCATAAGTATACCAAAGTGAAAAGCATGTTGTGGGACACAATTTATTAACTCTTACTGTAGTGTATGAAGAAGATCAAAAAGAGAAGATTGGAAAGGCAGGGCAAGACTGAAGGAAAATCATGGGGTTCACTGAAGGCCAGATAAGGATATGCAACTTCAGTAGGCAACAGCCAAGCACACAAGTTTTTGAGCAGAAAAATAATGTTATAGCAAAAAAATTAATAAAAAAGAGCCCTAGTCAGTTTGGCCCAGTGGATAGAGTGTCAGCCTGTGAACCAAAGGGTCCCCAGGTTTGATTCTGGTCAAGGACACGTACTTTGGTTGCAGGCTCCTCCCTGGCAACCAATCGTTGTGTTTCTCTCACATTGATATTTCTCTGTCTTTCCCTTTATCTCCCACTCTCCCTAAATATCAATTAAAAAATAGTCTTGGGTGATGATTAAGAAAAAAAAAAAGGAAAAAAAAAGAAAAAGTACTGCTAACTGGATCAGAACTATATTTAATAAATCTAAATGTCAGGTAAATATAAAAGGCATTAATTCTTGGCACACCATTCAACTTACATTTAATTTCTAAAGTTGCTCAAGAATAATAGAAATAATTATTGATTTTATTCTATTTTTAATTATATTGTTTAGATTTATATGCACCTTGAAACAACTAATATTCTCAATATAAGTTTTGACATAATAACATGAATAGGCAGCATGGAGAAATTAAAAATATTATTTTGGGACAATGTATTTCTTACACTGTGTCTTGGAAATAGAGGACTCAGATCAGTGAATAGGAAGTTCTACTTTCTTTGGGCATCTCCATCTCTGTGCCTTTTTGAATTCAAAAACTAAAGCTTATGTAGTAGAAATGAACAACTCTACATAGTTTCCCGGATGAGAAAAAAAAAAGTATTCCTTTTTAAAAGACATGTTTTAAGTGCCTTTAATAGCTCAATTAGAGAACAAAATTCTTTTCTGGCAAAATACCTAAGTGCAAATTAATCCATAGACCTTCTGGATTGGCGTGCCATGAATTGGGTTTTCTGAAGAACTCGTGTTCCTTAGATACATCAACCCATAGAACAAATAGACCAGATATTGAAATATAGAGAATAGCCATCTTAAAGACTTTCTTAAGTAACTCAAACTTATTATAATATAGTAGGTGTAGAGGAAATATGTCAAAAACAGTACTTGAATATCATTATTCAGGTTGAATTTTTTTTTCAAGCAGAAATGCTATATATTGATTCAGTTTTAAAGAGCTTAATAACAGGAAGTAAAGAATAGTGCCCCAACACTTGTAGAATAACTCATAGTTTTCAAAACTTTCACCAATATCCACTCAGTCACCAAGTATTGACTGAAAATTCAATACATAAAATAACCACATTAATTACAACATATAATTCTGACCTTGTTCTGTAGGAAATGGTTCTCCAAGTCCACCTTTTCAAATTGATCAGGTATCTGTTGATTGTTGGCATTAAAATTCATTGGAAATCCCTCACAAACTTCCCAACTAAAAAAAAGTAAAATATTTGATTATTTTTGCTAGAATAAAATATATTTATTTATAATACTCTTTAATCTACTAGTATAATAATTTATGCATTTTATACTCCACTAGTAAGAGAAAACTCAATGTATAATTTTAAACAAAAATTTGTAAAGTGCTTTGGTATCCATAATTGGGAAAGGGAAAGTTTTAAATTTTTATCTTGCAATTATTTATGACAGTGGGGGATTCCATGCCTAATTATTAATAGAAAAAAGAAACAAAAAAATGACTTTTATTCTGAAAAGATCACTCATAGTTGAGGCTATCTTCACTATTACATTTATATTCTAAATACAATGGAGTATGAATAATAAAGGATGTTTTTATACTTATGATAGTTGTGTTAAGCAGGAGTTTGTTTTTTAAAGAACATCCTAAAAGGCAGCACAGTCTAGCGGGTACATGGACAAACCACAAACTGGAGGTGCTGAATGCCATTTTAATTCAGCCAAATCACTTGTTTTAAAAGTGAGCAAATCCCTACTCTAAAGAAAATTACTTGGGTCAATATTGATATGTTAAGAGATATTCTAGAAAATGCTGCTATTCAACAGGTTCTAGGGCTGGTGATAGTATTTTTTCAATACTCTGAGAAATATAAGTAAGAATATGATTATTAATATTTCAAATAATACACTTTAGAGTTCAGAAAGAAAATTCAAATGGAATCCAAATATTAAGGAAATTATCTTCAAATTAGTTCAATAAGGGCAGGCAGTTTTCATATTGTTATTCTTCAGGAGCTAAATCTAATTTGAATCCACTCACTAAAACAATATTTATTGCACCTGGGAAGTAAAATTAAGATGGAATACATGAATTTCAAATTAAATTCCTCGCTAAAAATTGAAGGGTAGAGGCAAATATACAAGCTTGGAGAAAGATCATAAATGGAAATGCCTATTTTTAAAAAATGCTAATGAGTTATTTCTATCTATAAAGAAACAGAGCCCTAGCTGGTTTGGCTCAGTGGATAGAGTGTTGGCCTGTGGATTCAAGGGTTCCAGGTTCGATTTTGATCAAGGGCATGTACCTTGGTTGTGGGCACATATCCAGTAGGGAGTGTGCAGGAGGCAGCTGATCAATGTTTCTCTTTCATTGATGTTTCTAACTATCTCTCTCCCTTCCTCTCTATAAAAAAATCAATAAAATATATTTTTAAAATAAAAGAAACAGAGAACAGGACAAAAGAAATTCAAATCTTGCCTAATACATGGCAGACAGTCATTGGGGGAAGAGTTGGTCTTCCCCCAATGACTGTCTGCATATGTAGCAATAGGTTGACTCTACACTGTGTCAGACTGCATTTGCTTTTGTGGATTTACCCTCTACTTCAGTCTTTTTACCTACATCTTAAGGAAAGCTGTGATTTGTTAAATTATAAAATGTTAAAGCTAGATAGGATCTTACAGATAGATCACATAACCCAGCATAGTATCAGTTTTCTGCTCCGATGTCCAATATGGTAGCCACTAGCCACATATATTTTAATTAAAATTCATTTGATTTGAACAAAATTAAAAATTCAGTTCCTCAGTCACATTAGTAAGACTTTAAGTTCTCAATAGTCACAAAGTATGTTTTCATCAACACAGAAAGTTCTGTTAGTGCAGGATAGTGTTTAAACCGTCAATTTTTAAGAAAGACAGTCTAGGTTAGAATTTTGATTCTATCTTGCCCTTCTGTGCTTCAGTTTCTGTCTCTATAAAATGGAATAATAACAGTATAACAGTAATGATGTGATCAAAATAATTGTTTTGAGGATTAGATTCCTACCCAATTCATTTAAAAACTGTGCCTCGACTATGGTTAATGTGAATGCTGGGTTTTATCTTTTTACAGGCAAGAGAGACACCCATCTGCCCATGGACAATTATAAGCAGATATGGGACAAGATGCCCAACCCTCTACCTCCTGCTCTTCTTCTCACTATCCCACCAACCCTCCAGCATTGCTTTTGTTTTTAATTTGTCATCAAATGAGATCCTTAAATATGGACACTCACATGTATAAACATATAATATTTTAATGATTCTACTCAAATATTAGAATGGAAGCACTAAAAACAGCTTTTTCATTTCAAATAAAATTATCACATCTGCAAAGCTGAAACTAGAATCTGCTTATTGGACCATATGTTTTTTTAAAACTTAAAGTTAATGATGTTAATGATTAAGTCTTTTAGGCATTAGCTCAGTATATCATGAAATAAGTCAATAAAATAAATAATTGTTTATGTAAGATGATTCAAATAACGTCTTTTAGTGTTTCAATCTCACATTCTGGAAAATCTGAATTTAGATGATTCAGATTAATTTAACCAAGCACACATTAATTTACTTGTCACATCCACGTAGCAGAACAGCTTTGGGATCCAAGAAGGTTTTATATGCAATTGTAATGCCACCTCTGGCAAATGCAGCCACCTGGTCAAAGGTCAAACTCAAAACAGGGTTCCATGGAGATCTGAAAAATGGGGAAAAAATTAAAGCTATCTGCAAAATTACGCTAACACTGAAATTTCCGCACAAATAAATAATAAAACATAAAATATCAGTGTCTAGTAAAATCCCAAACTCTTAAATGCACATTTTACTTTATTTGGTTAATTTATAATATGCCAAGGATAGTTGCAATACACAATATTTTAAAAAATAATTTAAACAATAAAAGCAAAATATTTAGTGGAGAAAAACAACCAATTTTTCATATAATGTTCATTTTGTAATAACTATATCCTGTATAACTAAATGATCTTCATCAATGTCTAGCTACAATGCAATATGCCAATAATAAACTTTGGATCTGATATTTAAATAAATCCTTAGTGTTTAATTAAAACCAAACCTTTTCTTTTGGGGCTAACTAATTGTTATGCTAATTTGTTTTTTTATTTTACATACTGTTAGGGACATTTTTAAGGTTAATTTAATTATTTGAGAATAACAGAGATAGACTCTTAGACAGAGAGCACGCAGACAGCTCTGGTTGTGGAGTGTCAGAAAGAGGGTGAGGGATTGCGCAAAAAAGAAGAAAAAGGGAAAAGAACTCATGGACACAGACATAGTGTGGTGATGGGGTGAGGGTGGGAAGTGAAAGAGGATACAGGGGGATAAATGGTGATGGAAATAAAATAAAGAAAAAGTAAAATATATCTGATGGAAAACAGATCTTAAACAAGAGTGGGCACTATGCAAAATATGAAATAGTTTTTTCTAAATTGGTAACAAAAACTTGCTACTTATCTTAACAATTACACAAGTCAACTATATACATCAGCTGTGTAGTATAATGAAAAATACTTAAACTGAATCTAATAATGAGAAAAGACTCAGAAAAATTCAGAATATGGGACATTCCACAAGAAAAGTGAACTCTTTAAAAAAGAAATCAATGTCATGAAAAACAAAATAAAAGGTGGAGGAATATTCTAGATTGAAGAGAACTAAAGAAAATAACTGCAATATTTGAAGCTTATTTGGATCCCAGGTTACAAAGAGCTCTAAAGCGCATTTTGGGTAGTTTGAATATAATATGCATATTAGGTAATATTACATTATTTTTGACTATATTAGATACTATAATGTGGTAATATCGAAGAATAATTCTAATTCTTCAGTTATGTGACGTGAAGCACTTAATAAAACTTAAATAATTATCTGAAATTAATTTCTAACCATTCAAAAAAGAGAGAAGGGAGATTAAAAAAAAAGAGGTAAAATAAATGTGGCAAACTCTTTAAATTGTTGAGCTTTGGTAAAGGATATATAGATATTCATTGTATTATCATTTCAAGTTGTCTGTAGATTTGACATTTTTCTAAATAAAAATTGGTAGAAAATAATTAAGAGACTCAAAATTGAAGCAGATATTGGCAATATCATCTTTTTTAAATTAGTAATCTGATTCCCCATATCAGCATATACTAGGCAAGTTAGAATTACTCCCTGAAAATGATTATCATTTACTTAGTACACATTGCACATTTTCTCAATATATTTTAAATTGGATGGAAATAACTTTTTAGACATAAATTTTAGAAATTCCAATAGTAGCAAATGAATCATTAGATTCAAAACAAGAAAAAGAATACATTATCCTATTAAAATAACAATAATGAACAAATAAATACACTGACTATGGACTCCTCCAGCTACAATCCTCAGTTGATTTTGGAATTATTTAAAATACTTAGCATTTCTATTAGTTATTCCACAAATATGATTCAATTAACCAAAAACAAGTGTTTGAGCTTATTTAAAATTTAGTACTATAGCAAACATTATTAAAAACATCAAAATTAGTCAGTCATTGCTTTCACTTTAACAATGATATTTAAGAAGAAATTACTAGCCAACCATTTTATTTAAAAATATTTCCTTGTAATAAAATTCATTGCTGTTTGTACCATGCAAAAACAATTTTCATAGTGCAATTAAAAGACATTTTAAAATCTGCCTTTGGGAGGGAAAAAACACCATTCCTTACAGATATTTTGAGTTTTATAAATTACACACCATTAGAAATTATTAAGTATTATAATTTTATTCTACTAGGACAGGTGAAATAAAATTTTGTAGTATGTTACAACACTAATCCTCCAACTTCTTCCAAACCTTTATGGACTTCTGAGTAAATTTATTGCAAATCCAATTAGCTCCTAGCTCTGTCCAGGCTATTTTCATTACAGTTATGATCAATTATACTCTAAAAGCAAAATTATTTTCCCCATATCCTAAAAAAAAAAAAAAAAATTCAGAAAAGGCAAAAGTGTGTTTAAGTTTACTGACAAGCAGTTTCAGAGTTCATCTGGATGTATTCTGTCAAAATATGCATAAATCTCCATGACAGTCCATACAGCCCAGCTCATCAGCGCCTGCAGACTGCAGCCTTTTTCTTTCCTCGGAAATGCAAATAATTGTATGCAGGAATTTACCAATCTACAAAAATTTACACAACACTTTGCGATAACCAGTAATTATTGTAGGATAATATAAGGCGCCTTTGAGAAATACAACTTTGATATGATAGAGCTTATGAGCTTTACCAATTTATCTCTAGCTGTTCTGTCATTGGTGCTTAAAAGGTTAAGACTTTATTTGTGAAAACAGAGAGATAGTGGGGAATCATGTTGTCTGCAGCTTCATAAATCTTGCTTAAAATCCTTTTCAATTACCATCCATTTCTCCTTTAAAAAGGGACCAAAAAATAGAGGAGTGGAAGCAGGTCAGGGCAGTGTGCGACAATGACAGTGTGATGGGTTTGGGCCCCCCGTGGCGTTTCCATCTGCTATCATTAAGGTGACTACTCAGACATGAACAAATCCCACTTGCTGTGCTGACAGGCAGACTTCAAGAACTATGACAAGGCATTAAGACAGAAGAGTCAGAGAGAGAGAGAAGAGAGAGAAGGAGAGAAAAGAGAGAAGGAGAGGGAGAGAGAGAGATGACAAATTTCTCAGACAATCCTGCCTCACAAAAAAAGCATCCTGACATTTTATTGGAATTCAAAATTTTTAAAAAAATTTCATAAAGGGTGCTCTTGGCTTCTCAACTCTCCTTTTAAATTACTTTGCCCCAGAAAAGACTGAGGACAGACAGAAAAAATGCCTCACTCCTACCTGTACGCTTTACCATAAGAGACCCAAATTTTTTGCTCATTCTTCAGCAAAAGTGGATTCTTAATTTCTTGACCATGCTCATCGAAAAGCCGGGTTGAAGAAAAATTGAGGCCTGGTGGGTTGCTGGAAGATCCTTGAAGCCTTTGATGAATCTTGAGAAGTAACTGGGGGGGGGGGGGGGGGGGGGGGAATAAGGAAGAAGAAAAAAGAATTACATAAATTGTGGACAGCTGTAGTAAATGGTCTTTACTCTGTAACCAATGAAGTCTAAACAAATGATAATTAAATTCATATAGAATGCTAAAAGAAGTGTGAAATGATGGCACCGTTTAGCTCAAGGGAAAGTAACAAAATGAGCATGGGCTTTTAACCAGCAGGGGGTGCCACAGGCTTGTGATTGAGCTCTGACCCTTTGGCGCTGGGACTGAAAGCAGATGTGACAGTTTTACAGGAAGAGCGTTCAGCTTCTACACATGGTAACAGTCCTCTTTGATGAGGATTATGCTTTTCTTGTGGGAGCTACACATTCTCTCAGGTCCCTTGCAGAGCGTGTTCAGGTTTTACAATGGGCGGTCTCCCTATTTCCCACTACCGGGAAATAACCAATGGCCGAGTAATTCACCATTGACAGGACTGCAAAAATAAACAGGACTCTTAGCCCAGGTTGCTTCAGAAGGACTCTTCGGGCTGTATTTGAATGAAGGCCCTGCAAATGCTTGGAAGCCACTTCCATAAGAGATGTTTTCAAGTTGTACATAAGATATAACTGAAATGCAAAGTACGAAATGCTGTCATTTAATAATTTAAATATTAGCATTGTCAGTGTTTGCAACCACCTTACCTTTAGGGTTTGTGGATTATCAAGATATTTCTAATTTAAGGCACACTTCAAATGAAAGTAAATCCAATGGAACTGGGTTGCAGGTGGCATTTTAAAAGACTCTTTCATTATTTTCAGTTACCTTTGAGTGTTTGCGCCTCTACTCTGTCCTACTCTGTGCCCCACACTATCCATCACTCTGTCCTCCGCCCCTCAGGCCCCCCTAGCCTTCTGTCACAGGCTTCCTTTTCTTCTTTCCCTTGTCAGTTCCTGTGTCTCTCAATTTCTTGTTACTCTGTAATCTCGGCAGGGATGCAGGTATAGCTGTGGACTTCCCTTGCTCAGCTCTGTTTAGGGTGCCTCTTTCACTCCTGTTAATTTCCATTGAGGTATCCTGGGATGTGTTAAATGCCAAAGCTCAAAGGAAAGGAGATAAAGTAGCAATCTTGTCATATATGCCAGTTTCCTCTCCTATTGGTTCTAAACTCTTGACTGAGTAAAATATTTTCTTTGGTCAGCAACTATATTTGTAGAATATTTAAGAATTAAGCTTTGTCCTAATTAGAGATAAACAATTGTATCTCTAACTTTATCAGCTCTACATTGTTTTCAAAGCTCTCTATTGACCAAATTTCCAGCCTTGAGCATCAGAAAGGCTGAAAATGGTAACACATTTTTCATTTCAATAAAGATAATACTTCTCACACTGTATAATCAAATCCTTTGAATTACAAGTAATTGCTACTATTTTCTTTAGGAGTATAATAGGCAAAGATATTAGAATTGTAAAAGTCTGATTTTTTTTTTTACTGGAACCACAAACATGTTTTGAAAATCTATATATTGAATTCACAAAACCCTACATATATTTCTGTGCAGTCTCAGCCATTAAGCTTATTTTTTGTTGCCTTGCTATTATATTGGGAAAGCAAGCAATGCTGATCACTGTTAAAAATACAGTGATTTTTGTTTTCTAGTCATCACCTTTTTTGTAAAAGGGAAAGCTATAAAAGACTGAAGATCTAGTCCAGGAGAGAAATATGTATCCTAAAAATGGGAGTGTGTGGTAGGAAAGTATGTGAACGCCTGACCACAAATCCAAATGCACTTTCACAGGAGTTACATCTCAATCTCCATTTTCTCAACTTGGTGACATATTGCATTTTAGAGTTTCAAAGATGAGCATTCCACAGCTTCCAGGAGGTAGGGCCTCAGTGCCTTTCATCTCAAGGTAGTTGGTTAAGGCTAGAATGCAGTGACCAAATATATGTGATATTCTTCACCCACTTATCTTTAAAACTATCATCACCATGACATTATAGGATAAGAATTTGTTCAGGAACCTGAGGAGAGTATGAAACAGTTTAGGCATGTGATTGAGACAAGTGTGCACCAAGGAAACAGACATCCTTTAATGTCACCAGGGATCTCCCAAACAGCTATATGGTGTTCCTGATTCAAGTCTCCCCTTAACCCCCCCAAGATTAGCTTGCATATTATAGAAGCAAAGAACATTCTATTTCAATGTGCCACAAGCCAACTCAAAAAAATTCCTGCAGAGTATTAGCTTCCTATGTAAAATAATATAAATGCCATCTTCAATTTAATATGAACCAAAGAGTAAAGTATCCTAATGTGAAATTGCGGTGGGGGGGTGGGGAGGGGGGCGGGCGCGAGGAGATGACAAATAGATAATTCTAGGAAGGCTTTCATATCATGGTATTTTTAAATAGTTAAAGAGGTGATGGTAAAAAGAAACCAGCCAAGACACTTGATTCTTCTCTAATTTAATGAAGTAGCATTTCCCTTCTCTTCCAGGCTAAAATAATGATCAGATAAGAGTCTTCCAACTTTATGCAACTTTAGTGGATGACTGTAAAAGCCAGGTAATAGATACACCAGGGAGAGACAAGTCTGAGGGTGCTGAACTCAAGAGGGGGGAGGAAGAAGCAAGTTTCTAAACAAAAGCCAAGCAACAGAGCCCCAAACACTGCTGTGCGCTGGGGCGCATAACCCCAATTTGTAAACAACAGGGGTATTCAGTGTCTTTTTATGCAAGACAAAGACCCCAAATAAATGTTGACTCTGCCCGAGAAACATCCCAATGATCTGGAAAATAAAGGTAAGAGTGTCTCGGAAAAACCATTTGGACTTGCCTACAATGAGCATAGGAGACCAAAGCTGCACATTAGTTGTTCAGGGTCTTGGGCTTGGGAACACCCTAAATCCAGAACATACCCTAAACTGAATATCATGTCATTTCTTTTCAAAGTGTAAACAAGAGGGCAATCCAAGAGACCAGTGTAGACAGATTTCCAAATACAAGCACAATGAAGGTTAAGATGCTGTTAAATAAGTGGCTCAGAGTTGATAAACAGAGAGCCAAAAGAATTCAGAAGTCAATCTTAAGACTATCAATCTTTACAGACCAGCACATGACTGATCTTTTTTTTCTTTCTAAATAACTTATAGATGTAATTATCTAAATTAATGACAAGTAGCTTGGAAGACACCTAGAATCATAAATAAACAGCCAGTAAACTCACTTTTTCCATCATATCACCAGTTTGGTTTGGGCTATTAGACAACAAATCTTTTTGGTTGATACAGATAGAGATCTCTCCAGTGTCTTTACCATTTTCAAATACCTGAAAAATAAGTACATTAAAAAAATAAAAATAAATACATGTACACACACATAGGTACATATATACATGAATACATATGTAAACACAAACAGTCTTGGCTTTGCACAACAGGGCGTCGAATGGAAGTCATGGGTACAGGAACTTGTGAAGCAAGGGCCTCCTGTATGAACATGTGCAGGTAATTGACAATGAAAACCAACAGGGCTAGAATAGTAACTTCCCCCTCCCCGCGCCATTTCTTCTTTTGGGTTCAGCATCTTTAAACTGACTAGCTCTCCCTACAATCTTAAAGGAGGAATCACGCACTACACTGGATGTTTAAGTGTTTCATGCCTCAGAGAAAGGTCAGCTAGACACCAACTAACTTAGATCATTTCATTCTTCTTGAAAAAACATAAAGTCACAACATATGTGAGGGATGTCTGATTTATATTTAAAATAGATCAGTGTTCAGTTTATTTACTGACTCATTAACAGGAAACTCAACCTGACAGATTTATTGCATAACAGTATTATGAAAGCCATCCACTTGAAGTGCATACATTCGACAAGTTGTTGAGGACAGACATTATGCAATAGCTACTAAACAAACAAATACTCTAGCAAACATTCTGGTGTAAAGTATCCCAACAAACCAGTCTCAAAGGAGGGAACTAGAGTGAACACCACCTTCTGACCACATTGAGGGCCCCTGTGGGTGTGCCATTCACCTGAAAAGAATGGAAGCAGGCCAAGAGAGGCCTGATGAATAATTTAAATCCTTGCTTTTTTATTTTGCTTTTTTCTCAAAAGTTATTTTATTCCCTTTCTGATAGACCTACCACATCAAGGTAGCCATTTTATGTATTTCTAGCACTATTTCCAGAGAAGATGATTTGGGGCAATAACTTATTATGAAGAAAGAAATCTGTTTTACTTTTGAGATAGTTCAAGTGTTATTTAATAGGTCCTTTCCTGGTTTGGGAAATTATGTGCTTCAATAGCACTTACTCAGACTATATACATAAAAGGAGGGGGAGGGGATTGAAAAGAGATAGAGAGAAAGAAAAGGAGTAACAGTGTTCAAGAACTTGGGTCCATCTCTATTTAGAACTTTTCATCACTCTGATGGTCCAGTGGAGAAGGTACAGCTCTCAGCCTTGGTTCAGTGATATTTCACACCCGATAGTGTCTTTTGGTACTAGGGATTATTTTAAATCTTTGTTTATAAGTAAAGATAAAATGCCAGCAAGAAACCTCTCTAATTTTGTGAGGAACTTCATAAACCCAACTGTGGCCCACAAACCAATTGGAAATGAAGTAGAAGGAGAATCTTACTGTCCCAACAATCTCTTCAGGGCCCTAATCTGGAACAAAACTCTTAATAGAGAAATTGAACAGTGATAGTCACAATTCTAGCCACATGCAATTCTGCAAGGTTAGTGTTGACAAAAGCTCAGTTAGACGAACATATTGATGTTACTATGTTAAGACTTGCTAGATGTGAAATCAGAGTGCAGCAAATTATATTCTAGAAATGAGAGTGTGAGTGTCAAGTGCCAGACTAAGAAAGCAAATAGGACTTGGTCAACATCTAGCAGCATCACTAGCTCACTGCTTTCTCCACAACATCTACTAGGTCCTCCTTTCTATGTCTAGAAAAGTAAAGAAGAAGGAAAAAGGAGGAGGAGGAGGAGGAGGAGGAGGAGGAGGAGGAGGAGGAGGAGGAGGAGGAGGAGAGGAAGAAGAAGAAGAAGAAGAAGAAGAAGAAGAAGAAGAAGAAGAAGAAGAAGAAGAAGAAGAAGAAGGAGAAGAAGAAGAAGGAGAAGAAGAAGAAGAAGAAGAAGAAGAAGAAGAAGAAGAAGAAGAAGAAGAAGAAGAAGAAGAAGAAGAAGAAGAAGAAGGTATTTCAATGGTTTAGTAAAAGTTTAGGTGTTTGAGTGAAAGAAGACTCAAGTACTGTATGTTCCGGCGTATAAGACGACTTTTGAAACTGAAAAAAAGTCAACCGAAAATCGGGGGCAAATGATCAAAATTGCACAAAAATTACCTGCAGATCTTGACGGCAAAGTCGGTCTTTTCTTTGAAGTGGGGGGTAGTCTTATACAGCGAATATAGGCCTAAACTTATGTTTTAATTGTAAAATTAGGGGGTCATCTTATACACCGGGAAATATGGTACTAAATTTATTTTTTTCTTCCTTTGCATGAGAAATATTTTTCTTTCTATTGTCCAATGTCTAACAAAGATAGCTCTCTACACAGTGTTACTATGATTGACTAGATATAGGAAAGTAAAAAATAGTCTACACCTTTATTTTCCTGTTGCCTAATCCTCTACTTAAGAAAAACCCCCAACAGTTTTATTGGCTTCCTAGTGGCTTTCTGCATAACCTCACCTCCCCACCATTCTAAAATTAAATTCTCACCCTTGGAATGGGATGATGCACAAATCCAGCTAAGTATAGTCTTGGGTCCCAAGGAGAAAGATAATAGAACCTCAAATTTTTTCTTAAATGATCAAGATCCTCTTGAAAATGATGGTAGCTAATGACTAATTAAGAAAATAACTACAAATAGAAGTTTACTCCTATGCCCTTAATTAGGCAATGTATAGAATTTTAAGGAGTGTTTGCCATTAACTACAGTATTTTTACTTTTATTTATGTCAATATTAACATTTCCTGAGCAAGATTAAATTGGATTAAGGTCAATATTTCATTTTAATGTTGTTAAGTGATTCGCTCATTCATCAAAAGTTTATTGAGTTTATCGCATGTGCCAAGCAGTGCTCAGGTGCTTAAGATAAACCAGTGAGCTCCACCAGCATAGCTCAGTGGTTGAGTGTCAACTCATGAACCAGGAGGTCATGGTTTGATTCCTGGTCAGGGTACAGGCCTGGGTTGCAAACTCAATCCCCAATGTGGGGTGTGCAGGAGCAGCCAATTGATGATTCTCTCTCATCATTGATGTTTATATACATATATATATGTCTCTTCCTTCCTCTCTGAAATCAATACAAATATATATTTTTAAAAATTAGCCCAGTGAACTAAGATTCCCACTCTTAAGGAACAAAACAAGGTAAATAAATCATACAGTGTGGTCAGGAAATATTCAGGTCTTATGAATCTTGAAGTTTACACAATTTGGTGGTCTCTCTTCAATAATAATAAAAAATGGCAGAATTAAATATGGAGAACTACATAAAAACATTCATTTAAAATGAGTAAAGATACCACAATAATTTACACATATGTAAAAGCTCACATATAAATAAAAACATTACCAAATTCAGAAAATGTCCCAAAATACTTTTGTTAATAAGCTATCCAATGCACATATTTGGCTGAATTGTCTTTGATCACCTCTTTAAATGGTAATTTTATAGTATTTTCTAAAAGGAAAGAAAGAATAGAAAGATAATGCCTTCTTCCCTCTTGCATGGTTAATCAATAATATTTTTATTATTGGTTAAAAAAACTACTCTCAACCTCATAACTTAGTTCATTTTATTTTTAAAGAATTTAGGACTTTGTTGGCAAGTTTGGGGAAACCTTAATCATATTTCTTTAAAATATAAGCTATAAAACATAGAAGAATTTCCTACAACTTAGTTGGCTTTGTTAATTTCACACAATTTTCCCCCTTCAACACCCACATATTTTGGTGTCAGACATTCTAGTCACAGTGAAAGAGCAACACTCTGGCCAGCAGACAGTAGACATCTACCTGGAAGCTCTTCCGACAGCAGATGGCTAGCACTAACTAAGCTGTATGGCAAAGTGACTGCAGACCACTAATGACATTTAGCCACTCCCAAACTAAATGTATCCCCAACTCAATTTTCCCTTTCCTAGGCTTCAGAAATGCCTGAAGCCATTTCAGCCCCACTTGGTGAACGGGAAAGCTTGACATAGAGGAAGTTAGAGTGGAAACAATCATCTTAACCAATTATAATAAAAACAAGAGGCCCCTTGCACAAAGATTTGTACAATAGGCCTTCCTTCCCCTGGCTGCCAGCACCAGTTTTCCTCCAGTACCTGGGACCTAGGCCTTTGCTCTGGCCACAGCAGAGAAGCCAAGCCTCCAGGCTAGACTTCTCTGCTCTGGCTGCAGCGAGGCTTCAGGCTTCAGGCTTCAGTCTTCGCTTGGGCTGGGGCCTTCAGTCATCCCTCCACTCCTATGTATGCAAATTAACCCACCATCTTTGTTGTGTTAATTTGCATACCCATTCCTGATTGGTTGGTGGGCGTTGTGGAGGTGTGGTCAATTTGAAAATTTCTCTTTTATTAGTGTAGATGTATCATGTTTGTAAATCTTACAGAACCATGCAGCCACATGTACACATCGCTAGGGCCTCTCCCTGAGATGTAGAAGGGACCTATGTGAAGAAGGGGCTCTGAAGCTTACATTTCACTAGCTTCATGGTTAATGCACCGCTGAGGGGACTGGAAGGTAGTGTTATGTAAAGAAGAAAAATATAGCAGGGCAGGGGATACAGGGTCTGGGATCAGGGAGAGGGATGGGCGTGGTGGCCAACAAAGGAAGCAAGTGATCAGAATAGGTCTTTAAGAGAGGGAAGATCTGAGTGAAGACTAAATGGTGAGAAGGTGTGCTAAGCAGATAGCTGGCAGAGAAGACCTGCAGGCAGAAGGAGCAGCTAGAGCAAAGAAACCAAGACATGAATGTGTTCCAGGGATCTCAAGGAGACTAATGTGACAGAGGGATAATAGTGTGATTGAGAGGGATAATAAATGAAGTCAGAGAATTAAGGGTTGACAGCTAAACAGAGAATCTTTGGAGGGTTTTGAACAGAGCAGTAACAGGATCCAACGTACATTTTTTAAAGAATTATTGTGGCTGCTGGGTGGAGAGTAGGCTATAGGCAATAAAGGTCATATGAAAGATGATGGTGACTCAAAGTACTATATTTATATGCTGCGAATAACAATGGGCATGGTGAGAAATGGTCCATTTCTATTATTCATTCCAGAACAATTTTACTTGCTTAATTTATTG